AGACCATTAAACTTGACCGTTCCTAAAGCTGAGCCTGCGTCCAGCTCAAACGAAAAGTCGTGTTTGTCGGCAAAGTCCTGCAAGACACTCATGGAATATTCATATTTTTCTTGACAGCAAACTGGTAACAAGTACGAACGAGTAATTTTCGTGTCGCACTCGAATTGTATGTCCTCACATGAGAAGGAATGGCTTATGCCATTTGATAGGCGAATGCGATTCAGTGTCCATTTCTTAGCAAATTCTGTCCAAGCGTTCTTTTCATTTTCTTTTGAACTAATCACTGCGCCCATTGTGAAGAACATGGCATCAGGACAGCCCATTATCAATGTACCCTTTCTAGTTAGAGAAACAAACATGTCTTCAAACACAACTTCATCGCTTAAAGTCTCATCAAAATGCAAGATAGACTTTCTTGCCACAAATGGGCCTTGCAGATAGTCACACAACATGCATTCATTCCTGGAATGGAAGTATCCTTCCTGGTATTTCAGCACATAGTTCTTCATAGTACTTTGGAAGCARCCCATYTTCCAGTGTCCTGATAAATTCCTGWAAGAGCCCCCAGCTACTCCAACATTTGGYATCTCACTAACAACACGAATAAGCCTTTCAAGTTGAGACAGCCAGGAAAAGTGCACAACATCACGAGCAATCAAAACGTATGGYGTCGTTGCTTTCTTAATAAGCATGTTCCAGATTTTACCTAATACTGGTTTGGAGGAGGAACCGTGCTTAAACACTTTCAAGTTGCCGTAATTTTCAATGTTCTTGATACTCTGTTTATCTTGAATGGCTAGCAATACATCAAGAGTGGGATATGATTCAGCTATCCCATCCAATACRTAACTAAGTCGCTCGACATCCTGYGTGTTGTAGACCACTGCATTAATGAGAATAGATATGACTGAWTTRATWGGTTTRGCATTGGAACAGTTCGTGAGAACCCATCCTYTTTCGTAATATGGAAAACCGGCCATCGTCCCTTTAAAGGTCTCTGGACACACATCCCTTTCTCGGCGACGATCATCAATGCTTGAWCTATTTCTTGGTTCATTATTCAAAAGCTGCAAAATCTCTTCAAACTCCAAGAGTAGTTTGGGMWTCTTAGAGGATGCCAACTCARCCAGCTGTCCATGAATTTTWTTGAGTTTCCGTGMTARATTCTTTTGGAATTCAGTRTTATCCGAACAGCTGTAACTGAATAAAGATACGTGAAGTTAGATTAAAACTACATATAGAGCGGATTTCGTATGAGTGGGACATCGTTGTCGCACGGTTACCGCACAGTTACCGGACCTGGCCTGCACAATTTTCGTGAACCAATGGGGCACTAGAATTTGGTTACAAGTCACAGTACACTGAGTACCGTCCGTTTCCCACTCATACGAAATCCGCTCTAAAACGCTCTTGAAAGATTCAACTTTACTACGCGTGGATTGGATTCCACAAATTGAAGAAATATATAAGAATATATAATTTAAAACCCTGCAATTTCAACAGTCACAGTTTTGTTGTCACTTTAACTTTGCTGTAAGTCTCTTAGTACGAGCTCAAAAGTCACACAGAAATAGGCTCCTTCGCAGGCAACTCTACTCTGTGGGATTCCTGTGTTAAGGCAAAAAAGGCTGCCGGAGGGGGAGGGGGTTAGGAAGGAAGGAAAAACAGGCGGACTTGGCTACTCCTCCTATTCGCTGTTCCTAATCTGTCTACACCGATTCCTCTCTGTCAAGATTATGAACACAGGAAGAATAAGAACTAAAGAAGAGAAGAACGTTTCCGTTGTATTAGCCTGCGAAGGTGGCTAACACAGAATATGCCCTTTAAAAGCGTTTTGCACTTTTTTTGACCTGTGTTATCTAGTGTAACCTTGTGTTACCCTGTGCTACCTACTGTACGGTGTGATGCCTTTAAAAGCGTTTTGCACTTTTTTTGACCTGTGTTATCTAGTGTAACCTTGTGTTACCCTGTGCTACCTACTGTACGGTGTGATGCCTTTAAAAGCGTTTTGCACTTTTTTTTGACCTGTGTGTTATCTAGTGTAACCTTGTGTTACTCTGTGCTACCTACTGTACGGTTTGTATTACCTA